CCCCCACCCCCCTCAGTTCCGCCCAGGCCTGAGCGAAACTGCCGCCTCCGCCCCAGCTGTGGGTCTACGAACTTCTAGATTGGAGAGAAGAAGCGGAGCCAACCCTCGCGAGTACTACAGCGACCGGCACCCCCCCTGACTTTGTCCTTCCCGTTGAGAGGCACGCTGGGACACGTAGTTCTCCGGAGGCTGGAGGCGCACCGGCCTGTCGGGAAAGCTGTTCTCCGAGAACTACCTCCCCCCTGGGCGCGACCTCACGCGCTCCCGTCGCAGTGCATTCTGGGGAGTGTGGTTTGCGGTGGGGCTGAGGCACCCTGCGGACGGACGAGTCCTCTTCCCGGGAAACCACCACCCTGGAAAGAAGTGTCTGTTTAGCTTCATCGGGATTGGGGGGCCTCAGAGGGTGTTCTCTGAGGGGCCTGTCTGCTGCCAGAGCTGCTTTTCCTGGTGGGTTTCTCGTCAGGCCGTTGCTAGGTTCCCCTTCTTGGCTCAAGAGCGCTGAGGGCAGAGGAAAATGGTGTTTTATTTTTGCTCGGGGATCCAGAAGACTATAGTTGTGGATAGGGTCCTCTGACCTCCAAGCAGTTCAGGGAGATGACTGCTTGATGTGAGCACCCTGCTGAGATCGGGAGATGGTTGTTGATTGCTGGTAACTAGGGGAACCCTTGGGATTGCAGCTACGATGGGGTAGTTGTTAAGAGAGTTTCATTGATCCCAGTGGAACTTTAACACTGCCACAACCCAATGTAAATTGGAATGAGCTTGCCACTAGGTTCAGCGCCTGGCCCAGTATTGGAATTCCCTCCACAGCGTGCTCTTCTGAAACCTAGGCACTTTCTGACTCAGGAAGTAGACCCATCATTGTACAAGTTTCAGTTCTTAGGCAGACGGTTCTTTTTCAAGAGAGAATGTTCCTGTAAATCACATTCGATAGTCATAATTCAGGAATGCTTCCAAAGTGTGTAGAACCCAGTTGTGTCACTTTAGGGAACACACATCCCAGCAGTTTTGATGCCATTTTAGAATCTGCCCTCTCTCTTGAGCAGAACACACTGCAAGCACTTGAAGATAGTTGGAGTCCCCTAGAAATGGATAAATTCGTCATTCGAACGCCTAGACTCCAGAATAGTCCTCAGAAGCAAAATCCTGGAGGAAAGATTTACAAGCAGGCCACGATTGAATCTCTGAAGGTGAGAGGGGATCTGGGACTAGAGAAAATGTGCAATGGACTGTAACAGCAAGGTGGTGTGGAGTTCTTTGGAAGACCTATGAATTATTTCTAATGTGCTTCCTCCCCAAAGTGTCCCTGACCACTCCTAATCTGTTTCCCCCCTGTACTGACTTCTATTTATCAATTCCAGTACTTCTCTTACACTCTTCTAATTACTTTGGCTTTATGGTATATTTTGCTAGCTGGTAGGACAAGCCCCCAATGTTATTCTTTTGCAAAATTTTGTCTATTAGTAATGTTAAAGTACCAAGTATGATTCTATGTACCCAGTACAAACTCAGTAAGGCTGGGTGGTGATACTGTATTCTCCTGTCTTATTGGCCAGAACTGTATCACATGACCTCCATAGCTACAGCTGAGTCTGGGAAAGAGAATTTAATGGACTCTGCAACCTGAGTGTTATCAAGAGTCAAGAATAGATACAGGTTAGACAACCAAGAATGAGTCAGTCAACATAAATACCCAATTAATGGTAAAGTAACTTATTTCACTAAAAACAACAACAAAAAGTGCTCTTAATTAGTTCCCTTTGTCTTCTTGAACCTCTCCTCCTACATATCTGACTTTTTATTTTCTGTTTCCTTTATTGCTTCCTCTTCCTCCAGTAGACTCCTAATGTTTGTGCTTCCAAGAGTTTTTTCACATTTTATGTATTTGGCCATTGTGACCTTATTCATCTTAAGACTTCCCATGCTATGACTACCTACTTGGGCCTCCAGCCTAGATTTCTGAGGGTGAGAGTGGAATCTGGAGAAAATGCAGAGAACTGTGATAGCAAGCTGGCATTCTGTGTACTTACATACTCAGATGAACTCTTGTAGATAAGCCATAGGCTTAACAGATCCAGATCAGAAAGCAGTGAAGGGGGTATAAACAGAAACCTTTGATTCTAGTCTTTACTGTGTAACTGGATTATCTTTAGCAGGTCATGTCCTTCTCTGGGATCTCAGTTTGTCCTCATCTGTAAAATGTAGGGTTGAGTCATATCAATGTTTCTTTAAAGGAGCACTGTCGTCATTTGGGGTAAGATAATTCTTGATTATTTGGAACTGTCCAGTGAGTTGTAGGAAGTTTAACATTCCTGGCCCTTGGGCACTAAATGCCAATTTAGTGTTGTAATGCCCTCACATATTTCCAAGCAGTCCTTGGTTGAGACCTACTGAACTCTAGATGATCTTTAAAATCTCTCCTTGTCTTGCAGTTCTGTGACTTCATGCAACACATTCAAGATTTTCAGTTGTCTCTGGTTTTTCAGAGTATTCACAGATAATTGTACACAGCAATGATTCTCATTGAGGGATGGTGGTGGGCAGGATTGTGATATCAGACTCTCTGGAAGAAAAAGAGGATGATAATAATTAAACTATACCTACACTCATACCAACACCCAGATTCTAACTTCTACCTGCCCCTTCTCCCCTCTATATCTCTACTTGTATCCAACTGAGAATTACTGTATTATGATGAGAATAAGTCATATGAAGATTATGAAATCAGAATGAACAGTAGATATATAGAATAACATTTCTATGAAATGTAATAGCTTTTCTTTCAAGTTCTTTATTCTCCTGTATTTACTTTTATATCCATATACCAAGTAACCAGGACTAGAAACAGAAACCATCCTTAACTCTTTTCTCTCTTGTATTCAGTTTTTAAATTCTGCCTCATAAAAATCTTTCTCTTTTTTTTTAATATATCTTCATTGATTTCAGAGAGAGTGAAGGAGAAAGAGAGAGAGAGATAGAAACATCAATGATGAGAGAGTCATTGATCGGCTGCCTCCTGCATGCCCTGACTGGGGATCAAGCTCGCAACCCTGGGCATGTGCCCTGACCGGGAATCCAATCCCTGTCGTCTGGATCCTAGGTCGATGCTTAACCGCTCAGCTATACCCAGCCGGGCTGCCTCCTAAAAATCTTTTTTGTCCTTCTATCTCCTATAAATTCATAAATCTTTGCTCTTATCTAGAGCAGTGCCATATTCTGGTTACTTAGCATCCCTGCCATTCTTACTCCACATTTAAGCCAGAGAAGTAAGTCTTTAAAAAATGAAAATCTACTCAAGTTATCTCCCTACCTAATCCTTAAGTGGTTTCTCATTACCTATCATCGATAAAGACATTTCTTTACATTGACACCCAAGGCCTTCCATGGGCACCTTCCTGCCACATCCCCTGCCGGCTCTTCTTAGTGTACATTTCTTCCAGTGTCAACCACTCACAATTTACCAAAGATGTGCACTTTCATACCTCTGTACCTTTGCATATGTTTTTCTGTTTGCCTAGAATGGCTTTACTCCCTTGTCTTGGTGATGTTATGGTACAGTAATTAAAAACACAGACTCTGGAGCCAAACTGCCTACGTTAAAATCCCAGCTCTGCCATTACTACCAGTGTGATTTGGACAACTTATTTAACCTCTCTGTGTCTTTCCTCATCTATAAAATGGAATTAATAATAATATCTACTTTATAAGTTAGTTATTAAGTTTGAGTGAATCAATATACAGAGCAGGGCAAAAGTAGGTTTACAGTTCATATGAAAAATAGTAATTTTATTAATAATATTAATAAAAATAATACAAGAATAAACTGTGCACTACTCAACTGTAAATCTACTTTTGCACTACTTGGAACAGGGTCTGGCACATTCTAAGCACTATGCAAGTGTTTGCTATCATCATCTACTTTATGAAATCCTGTTTGTTCCCCATGACTTAGTTCAAGAGTCTCTGATCTTCCCTTACCACCTTTGTGTCTCTGAGACACAGAAACAATCTAATCACTCCCTTCTTGTTTACCTTAAAACTAAAACAGCCAGTTATTTTTACTAGCAAAAATGGGTTTATTCAGGAATGGCAGAGAATTGAAATTCAGCACCAGCATGCTATGGAAAAACTATAGGCAAGTCCAGCAAACA